ATTCTGCCTTCAAAGCCAGCTGTCGCAAAAAAACTTCCATTGTTTTTGTAGTCACACAGGCGTCTCTGTGCCTCTTCACAGAAAATGGTGTGTATGTCGGGCACCTTATCTTTACTCTTGGACTCTCTCCTGTGTGCTTTGGCACCACTAATGTGCCTCACCACACAGATACCCGAGCTGACGAGTGACACAGAATGCCCGTTGGTGAGCAATGCAGCCATTCAGCCACGCATGACATTTTGAGCGTTATTGGTTAAGAGAACACATGCATGTCCATTTTTTTTTTTTAAGGCTCCCACTCTCGAGAACATTGCCTATGTGATGCCTGGGCTGTAAGTGGAGACCGAAGATCCCACTGGAGGACACAACAATTGTGTACTGAAAGACACTTAATGTCAAATAGTATTTATTTTAACACATCATGTTTGTGGGAGGCATATCTCAGCCTGTTATTTATACATACTGCCTTACACTGGTGATATGATTAAACAAGTTGTGTGGACACAATAGTACAAGTTGTACATTTCATTTAAGCAGTGAAAGAGAGATCTTATGTCCCTGAAAAAAATGGACGTGAAACGAATCTTAACAGTGAAAATCACGTCTTAAAGACTACATGAGTATGATTAAGTTTTTTTATTTATTGAGAGAGAATCATATTTGAAACGCATTTAGTGTAAACTGATGAAACAGAAGCTCTTGGTGTGTTTCTCGTCAAAGTCGGTATAAATGCATGCACAGTCATGTTTGATTTCACATTCTTTCAAATTGTTAAAGCTGAACCACATGCTCTCTCCTGAATTGTTGGAAGCTTTATATTTGTTTCTTTGACACCCCCCTTTCAGTTACATCTACCCAGGATATAACATTTTTAAACACAGTTGACCCCATCTTCTCTCTTTTGACTTCAAATCACAAGTCACATCCTTGACAGGCAGTGACGGCCTCACGGGGTGAGGCAGAAAATAAAGTTGGAGTGATTCACACAAAGCAAGGGTGTTCCTCCTCCACCCCATCTTGGAATGCTTAGCACCTTGAGGACTGAAGAAACCTGTTGTGCAAAAAAATATTCTTGAGCCTTCATTTGTGTGTGGTTAAAGTTGGGAGGGGTTAAATTAGTTTCTACCCGACTATGCTAATCTACCTGAGCATTCGCCGACTGGTAACCGACATGTCCTGAAGCTGTCTGGATGGCGACATGATTTAGTTCCCAATTGTACAAACTTGGAAAATACCAGAACACGACATCTTTGATCTCAAACACACAGAGTAAGTACATTTGTCATTGTTTGTATAATACTATTGTTTACAAGACAAGATATCCATTTTATAATCTATAAAATGGTCCAATCTATAAGACCTGTTGCCTGTATCAACAGTTAAGATAGTATGTTGCTAAGAATAGATGTTTATCGTGTAAAGATTGGTTAAAGGTTTTTGATCTTTGAACTAAAAGAAAATACAGACTATTGTTATGCTGCTTTCTATCTGCTCTGTAAGAGTAAAGTTCTTGTTTCAAGATGAACTGTTGTGGCAGAATGTTTGTTAAAGTTGCTACTGACGTGTGGTGTCTGGTGTCCAAGTGAACTTGATCTACAATACAGTCAGATCTTATTTTTCTTAGCTACACAAACATGGGCTTTTTGATTGCTTTACGTATCAGTCTAAATATAAAGTCCATGTAGAATGTGACTCAACTGGACTGGCAAGGTCTGTTTTATCAGACACTTGGATCTGATGGACAAGGTGTAAAAATGAAAGAGCAATTAAGTTCACAAGCATCCATTAGCATTAGTTTATTTGTACTTGTAGACCATGGTTTAAGGATTTGGTTTTGTTTTCTGTCCTTAATTTCAAAAGTCATTTCATGCAGAGTTTAAGTATTGTGCTGAATTAAGAGGGACACTTTTGTCAACTTTGTCAATTCCTTACTAGTACCAGATAGTGGCAGCAGATTTGGACTTTTGCTGGAAACTATGAAGCTCATATGACCACTTTTGATCTTCTTTACCTCAGTTATGAGTGAGAAGAGGTTCTCGTCCCCTGATCTCAGGGTGATTCTCCTGGGGAACATCGGATGCGGGAAGACCTCGTCAGCGGACACAATCCTGGGCCAGCTGTCCCACATCTCTTCTGGCGCCTCGAAGAGCTGCCAGCTGCGGCAGGGCCTCAGCGAGGGCAGGAACATGACCCTGGTAGAGGCTCCAAGATGGTACTGGAACGGTGGAAAGATGGAAGACGGCGTTAGGAAGGAGACTGCACGGGCTTTGACTCTGGTTTCGCCGGGTCCACACGTTGTTTTGCTGCTGGTGCCGGTGAGCCAGTTCACTGAGGTAGGGTGGTTTGTCCTCTAGTTACATTCATGTACACATCTTGATCAAATAGAATAGATAAATACAAAACAATTTGTTGAGCATATCTGTATCTCCAACTTAGAAAATTCATTTTTTAATCCAATTTCAAATGAGTATTTTCTACTTAACTGTTCCCAGATGGAAAGTCGCGTTCCTACTGAGTTGCAAAGTTTGTTTGGGAGAGAGGTGCTGGATCACACCTTAGTGCTCCTGACCTGTGGTGACTACTTGATGGGAAAAACAGCAGAGGTATTACAGATTGACACTGTTTGTTCTGTTTTTTTAAATAAAACCAATTTTCCCAAATCTAAAATTGTAAGAAATTAAAGCTAACAAGATAAAAACTGGCTCTTAGAAATAAAACCTTTGGGTTTGACTGTGTAAACTTAAAAGCAACATGTGTCATTTAAAATCTATTTTGGAAAAAGATTGTTAGCTTCCAGGTTTTAGCCTTCAGATATTGTTGCAGTAAATTCTCTACATTTCATTGCTGTTTAAAAAATGTTGTAAAGATGCACAGGAATCTAAGTCTTCATTCACTGAAACCAAATTGTTTCTCTAATAGGAATACCTTCAGACAGAACACCCAGGCCTGAGGCAGATGATTGAATGCTGTGGAGGGAGATACCATGTACTTAATAACCGACGGCGGCAAGACAGAGAGCAGGTCCATGAACTGCTGAAAAAGGTGAGCTGCGAAGCAGGAAACATGCTTTTTTCTTTCTGTCATTGTACTTAAGAACTAAGCCAGTCATCCGATTACCGCTTCAATTACTCAACCACAGCTGCGTTCAGAACTGGTTTTGGTTTAATGATTTAACAGTCACGATTGTGCAGTTGGTGTTGTTTTCACCAAGTGAATCTGTCTTTTTTGGGAAATTATAATCCTGGAAACATTAGCTGCAGCAACTACCAGAAAAATATTTTTTTTATTTTGTTTTTAATAGTATTGATCAGATACAGTTAGCTGGGATTTTTTTTTCCTTTTAAAGAAAAGAAAGCTTTAATAGGAGGCTTGCTTTGACCACTTCCATGTATGTCAGTGCCGCATTAAGAAAACATTGCTTCCCTACATGCGTTCTTGCAACACTTCCAAACGTATGAAATGCAGTCTATTAAAGGATTACATGTCACTGCAAATCTGAGAATTCACCACTTTTCTTGGTCAGTTTAGCACAGTCAAGTTTAAGGGTATTGGCCAAACCTAACATGCTTCAGGAGAGTTTGGGAGGTTAATATAATTGTCCTAAAGTTATATTCCTTTTTGCTTTTATTCCTTAACTGAGGACAGGGCGGCATTTTATTGGCCAAAATGTAAAATGATTTTGATATCTGCTCTCTCTAGATGAATTCAACCAAATATTAAACATATGGGGGACCAGCATATTGTAAATGCTACGATCAGTTATTAATGAGCTTTAGTTGATCATTTATCTAGGTTTGATTTTCATTATTCTGATGTCATAACTATACGTATAATTTTTTAATTTGTTTTAGCTGGCTAAGTGGAAACTTGTCCAGGAATCTATTGTAGGAGGGATAGGGAATTTTAAAACCTTTGATTGCTGGTTGATCAAAAATAAAACAAAAATTAAATAATTACTTTGAAATGTCTCTGTACAGTTCCTGTTAATAAAGTTATGCTTTTAATTCTTTATAATGATAGGTGGACAGTATGGTTCTGGAAAACGGGCCGTACATCATTAAAACAGACGAGGAGAAGGAGCTGGAGAAACGAGTGAAAGAACGAACTCATGAACTCATGGAAAGTTACAGAGCACAAAAGCAAGAGACGACAGCATCGAGGAGTTTTGACGTGGTCGACAAAGTAGAAGAGCCTGTTTTGGAGAAGATGAGAGGAGAAGGAAGGGATGAATTGGAAAGAAAAGTGGGGGCAATCCAAGTTTCCAATGGTCTCAGTTTGGCTCCAGCTCCGGAACCGAAGTCATATTCCCAGCCGAATGCTAAGCAACTGCTTAACAGGACACCCAGTTACAGACTGAATGCAGGTAAATGATGCGTAGCTTGGATATGTCCATGTTTGGATCAAATTTGTCCTGCATCTTGTTGTGAAACAGAGCAGTCTCAGAACAGATTTCTCCATTGGAGAGACAAAAGTGATTATAAAAATTCAGCCCTTATATCCATATCTTGTAAAATATGCTTAATCAGTAAAACGTTTAAGGAAGATTTGTAAAAAAGGGGGGAAAAAAGGACAAAAAACAGTTGAACACACAATGAAAGTGATCCAACCACATGAACTGACGAAAGGAAGTATTAAAGCTTTTCCCCTGCTTTCCTCTGCAGATGGAGCCATCCTCTCACAAATGTCCGAGGTTAAATCAACACCAAAAGTCACGTCAACTTGTAAGTCTCTGGATCTGTCTTGAACCTTCTTGATTCCCTACTGATTGTCTAAATTTCCAAAGTGTTTATTTAAATATACTTGATCATTTTCAGTTCACCACAGAATCAACAGTTTTGAGGATAAAACCCCAGAGTCGTCCCCTACGTCCGCTCCTCTTTCGCCCGCCTTCTCTCCTCCCTCCCACTCCTTGCCGAACCTTGACGCCTCTTCATCTCTGTTGTCACCCCCCTCCTCATCTACCTCATCCTCAACCTCTTTGCCCTCATCCGCTCCGGAGCTGCGCCTGGTGTTGCTCGGGCGATCCGGAGCAGGCAAGAGTGCAGCTGGCAACAGCATCCTGGGTCAGGAGGCGTTCATGTCCAGTTCAGACGGCTTCACTGCCATCACTCAGAAGTGTGAAAAAAAGAAGGCACTGGTTGAAGGAAAAAGGGTCAGTATATGAAACTATTAAATACGCCGAACGTCAGACCGACCTCTCAGAGTTCTGTTAAGTCAGCTGCATGTGTTATTTTGTCTCACCTGCAGGTGGCAGTAATAGACACTCCCGATTGGTTCAACTCGGAGCAGACTCCGGATGAGGTGCGAGCTCAGATCTCCTCCTGCGTCGCTCTATCTAGTCCCGGTCCTCACGCCTTTCTCCTCTGCGTCCCGTTGGACCAGCCTGCAAAAACCGAGCTGCAAGCTCTCAGGGCGCTGGAAACCGTTTTCGGCCCCGAAGCAGTCCAAAGACACACCATAGTTCTCTTCACTCACGCAGATCGATTGAGGGAAAGCGGGAAAGCTGTAAACGGCAGTGTGGAGGGATACATCTCCACCCAGAGGGGGGACTTGTTAAAGCTTGTCGAAAAGTGCAGGGACAGGTTTCACGTGATGGAAAGAGGGGAAGGTCGGGGGGAGAAGAGGAACGTGGCAGAACTATTGGAGACAGTGGAGCAGACCATAAAGGAGGCCGGCGGACAGTGTTACTCTTGTCCGGCTTTTCAGGAGGCAGAAAGTAAAGTCAGGCAGAAACAGCTGGAAATTTCAAGGGAGAGAAGGGGGGAAAGGCCAGAGCAAGATACAATGGGAGATACCAGGCGGCTGAGCTCTGAGCGGGTATACATGCAGACTGTAGACGAGGCAGAAGAGGACCTGAAAGAGGAGGAGATTGAGAGAACAAGGGATGAGGCAGAAATGAGTGTGAGCGCCATAAACCTTGATAGCCTTCCCCCTATTACACGTTCCACCATGTCCCCCTCGCTGCTCCAATCGATTATGGAGAAAGTGGAATCCAGCGCAAAGATGCTGCCCAAATTGCTGGCGGACAGTTCCGCGTTGGTCGGAGAGGGAGCGAAGAAGATGCAGAGCAGTCCAGTGTGGGGGAAAGTCGGCAGCGGCGCCCAGAACGTCCAGAAGATAGTGGTCGACAGCTCCGTCTGGCAAAAGGTGGGAGCTACCGCAGGACAGGTCTCCAAAGCGGTGGGAGATCGGGTCCCCAAGGTAGTGGTTGACGGTTCCGCGTGGGTGGGATCTGGAGCGAAAGCCGTGGCAGCAAGTCCGGTGTGGGGGAAAGTGGGCTCGGGGGCCAAATCCGGAGCAAAGCTGGTGGCAGACAGTTCAGTGAGAGCTGGAGCAGGGATCGGAACCGGGGCGAAGAAGGTGGCACAGAGTCCAGTGTGGGGGAAGGTGAGCTCCGGGGCAAAAGCAGGGGCCAAAATGGTGGCCGAAAGCTCAGTGTGGGAGAAAATTGGGGCTTATGCTAAACAGGTGCCAAAGGTGGTGATCGGAGGTGCAATTTTGGGTCTTGTACTGGGTGTGTTTTTGGGTGGAGTGATTGGTGGAGCTGTAGGGGCAGCCGCTGGATCAGCTGTCACTGAGGTGGGGAGACGGAAATTAAATAGCAAAGGCACAGCAGAAAATACGGATGAGACCGCAAGAAATGTTCAGGGAATGGTGAACAGTGTCGGTGAAACGATGAAAGGAGGAGGAAAAAGTTTGAAAACCGAATGAAGGACTTTATCTTTGGGGAAATGTGTTGAGATTATTCTTAACTTCAGTTTTATCTGTGTTCGCAAGATTCATTCTAAAAGTTAGTTGAATATTGATTAGTTATTTTTCTTGCTGTTTAACTGTATTATTTGAAAAGACTTGTTTGTTCTTCAACTAAATAAATTGAGTCATTTAGATGGTTTGCTGGTTGATATGAAAAAATGCTGATACTTTTCTTGAAACATATTGGCAAGTTTGTGAAATAAAAACTATTATAATAATTATTCATATTCTGGGACAGCTTTGGGAAATTGAACATAACGAACACACAGTCTCTTGATTCTATAAACCTCTGTGTCTCAATAAAATCCAAGCATCATAAAATTAAGTTTTTCTGTTTTTTAGCAGTTTTATGCCTTATGAAATAAGTGTTAGTGTTGTAATAATGGGCAGTTTAATGATTCGATTTTTAGAAGCTTCCCCCTTTTCACCACTACGCAGTCACTTTTTGTTGCAAAACAGTTAAAAAAAATAACTTTCATAACATAAACCCACAGGTACCACCGATATGGAACATGTGCTTTAGTGTGTCCTTGAGAGATGAAATAGACTTTTCCTTACAGCGTGCTTCAGACCAAGAGTGGAAGGGGTGGAGGTAACATTATCTCTTAGTCCCAGGCAAACATGCAGGACTCTTCTTGGCCCCCTGTATCTAGATGGAGGGTAAACGACCCAGTTTTCACAAGTGATGTTGGAAGGTTTCATTTTTCTTTGTTATGCATTACCCTCAAATGAAAAAAAAAAAGTATGAAACACATACTACTTAAAATATTGCTTTAAAACAGATCATAAATAATCAGAACCAAAGATCTGAAACTCTCAAATCTTCACAGATTTCAACCTTTAGCGATTGGATTCACCTGTAGCACACAAAATGATTGGCCTAAAAGTCTGTATTGTTCAACATTAAAAGGAAACACAAAATGGGCATATCCTAAAAGCAGCAAGACCCCCAACTCGTACCGTAATTGCCTTTGTGGTGAGTGAACGAAACAGGGTGGGGTCCGAGCAGAGCGGGCAGATGCAATATTGTGAAAGAAGCTCTTCCTGTTGTGGGATCCTGAAACCGGGTGTACATTGGTTCCTAGTGCATCCTGGTGGCCGTGCCCCACCCCACTCCTACCCCCACACCCTTCTCCCTTTTTTTGATTGCATTGGTTGCTACCCCACATGGCCAAACACCGATCAAACACGCATACACACACACACCACCACCACCCCTCCTTCAGGAAACTCGTTGGCCATCAATGAGACAGCACTAACTGTAGCCGTTTCCTGGCCACTTGATAGAGCCGAGCACACACACGCCGAGAGACTGCAACGCTGCAGCTGCAACTTTTGCGCCCACCCCAGTTTTTCACTTTCCCCCCACCGCGCTGAGCCCCATCTCCAACCACATCCCACATCCATCCTGACCTTCCGCAAACCCAACCACACGGGTGAAAAAAAAAAGAGAAGAAAAGAAAAAAAGCTGTTACTGTCACATAAATCTCCTGCTTGTCCTGTCTTGCATCCAGATCATTTTCAGAGCTTTTTCCCGAAACGTCTTCTTCAATACGACAATGAGACACAAAACTATTTGTGCTGTTTGACTATGAGCCTTTAAGTCACCTGAAATTTGTTTTTAACACATGGAAATGGTTGAATACAGATTTCCACAAATATAAAGCCTGAGACCAATGTTTGGTTTCCATCACTGTAAAAAGAATCTGAACTATTTGAACATTAATACTTGTTTTTTTAATGTCACATCCCTCATTTTCTTTAAAAAAGATTAATTTATCGTGGTGTTTCACAAACAACTAGACAGTAATTCATTCCATGTAGAGTTTAGTGACTAGGTTCTCACATAGACCTACTTTGATGATTATGGGCATTTACTGTATTTGTTTTAAAAGAAACATTCAAATAATTTTTTTTAGAGATCATATCCCCCTGAAACAATAAAATCTAATACTAATTTCAATCTAATTTCAATCATTTCATGCTGGTTACTATTACAATCTCACACCGAGGCAGCTACTTGCACTGGACTGTTAACCATATGACGTGCTCCCTAAATCAAAAGCACAAAAACATTTGGATTTGTTGAGAAATTGTGCTGACAATGAGCAGTCTTAGGAGCGCAGTAAGAGGATGTCAAATAAGGAACAGCAAACTAAAACACGCTTTATTTCTGTCTGGTGCAAGTGTGTCACAACTTCAGGGTGGGACCATTAGACCCATGTTTCCATAATATGGACAGCAGGGACATGAAATCCCGATTGCATGCCGAAATCTCTTTTCTTTTCTCTTTTTTTTTGTTTGGAAGGTACTGTAGCTGGAATGATACACGACAGATTATTCAGATGAAAACCTCACCTCATAGGGCAACTTTGTAGCTTTTTAATCCCTCTTTTGAGATATCGGACATTTTTAAGGGTGCAAGAAAGCAAAATTCATTAACCTAGATTTCCTTTACTCATTAGTTTTAGTTCATTAGCATGTGTGTATATCTATTTATTTTTTCAATCAAAAGACAACATTAGAACCTTTTTCATCTTATAGAGCAGGATCATTGTGATTTCTCTTAGTTTTTGTTTTTATTTGGCCTATTAAACAACATATTGCTTCATTTGATTTGATTCGATTTATTTAATTGGCTCATTATTCTGTAAAATGTAATGCTTTAGCCAGTCCTAAACCACAGTCTGGTTCATCAGCAACACATGGAGCGTCACGATCACACTCAAAGTTTGCGTCTTTGCTTTAGAAAAAAAAAGCACACACTGATGAAAACTGCAAAATGCCACAAACAGCGTTCGGTATCCGGTGCTTTTAGCTCATCGGAGGGGACATCTGTACTCCTCGCTGTATTGTTTTCTGTTTTTTTTTGGGTGTCACCGCTCGTCATTTGTGGCGGACACCATCCTTATCTGACCCTTGACCTTCTCCAGAATGCCATGGGTCACCAAAGAAGTCTTGGCCCCGAAGCTCTCCTCACTGTCCGTGTCTCCGTAGCAACTGGAGGTAGCCGGGGAATTAACCAGGGCGATGACTGAGTCGGTGGAGTCCCTGTGGGAGGACACTGCGGCGGGATGGCCCGTTGTGGGCGGATTGCCGCACTGAAACAGAGGCTTCCGTTTGCTGCCGTCCGGCCCTGCAGCTGCGCTCTCATCCTCGTCGTCGTCCGCCGAGTCCCGGCTTTTGTCCTGGGCCTGGTCGTTGAGCAGGGTGACGAGGAAGTTGATGTACTTGACGGCCAGACGCAGGATTTCGTTCTTGCTCAGCTTCTTGTCAGGTGGGTGCGTGGGGATCAGTTTCCTCAGTTCGGAGAAAGCCCCGTTCACATTTTGCTGACGCCAGCGCTCGCGGCTGTTGGTGAAGACACGGCGGGCAAGCTTCTGAGGCGGGCCTGTCAGAAACAGAACAACTGTGTATATTTACAAGACCTAAAAAGGCCATACACTTATTTTCACATAAACACTTTGAAATTAACAATGAGTGGAGCTCGCTAATAGAATTCTAAGAGTGTCCAAAAGCTCTCCAGTCCAGACCAAATCAAATTTAGTCAAATTCTCCGATAAAAACGATGTTGCACTAGCATGTATTGTTTTTCTACTTGAAAGAGACTAAAAAAAATGTATATTTTTTCTTTTGATTAATCAAATTGCATTATTTTTGAGTAGTGAAGTACTGAGAAATAATTTCATAGGTTGGGGATGTAGGTAAGAAAATACTCACTATCTCCAACCTAATCTACTCGATACTGATGAAATAGCTACCTTTGTGAAATAGCTAACAGTTCATAGGGAAGTTGTTTTTTTATTTGCTCTCACAGACTCACATTCATTGATTTCCATCTCAAAGTGTGACGACGGCCTCCTCTTGACACGACTGCTATTGATGACGCCATAACCACCTCCTGAAGGTCCCAGGTAAGAACTAGAGATGAGAAAGGAGTAACGGTCAAGACTGAAAATAAATAGATAAATAGATGGACAGATAGAATGGGATAGCAGGGCTCTGTTCTCGTTACGTTAATTAAGTGTAATTGCTGATTTTCAGCTCTGTTCCAAAGCCAAAATACAAACTAATTCTTCTTTAGAGGGGGAGGAAATACATCAATGCTTTCTGCTACTTAAAAAGCCTAAAGAGAAGGGTGGGGAAATGATTTTCCCCAGACGTCCATGACAGATTGGGAAGCCAGAGTTGTATCCAGTGTGAAGAAAAAGTCTCACTTCTTTTCTTGCACAGTTTTCTGTTACACGCTGCAAAACGGTATGAAGTTCTTTGTGGAACAGAGAATAGATGAACAGTGGGATTGCTTAGATAAAGACGGCAAATGAACGCTTTGTCTGCATGAGAGCAAGAGAGGAGCTGCCAACCCCTGGACCCCCACAAAAGACCTAAAAGAGTTCCGTCTTTTTTTTGCTTTTTGACAGTTTGATGGCTAAATCTAACCATAATTACAACAGAATTAATATTTTCATGAAGGCATTTCTTCAGGATTTTAGTGCTGAATTAAAAAAGAATTGAGCTACTCTTCAACAAATGAAATACTCTCTTGCAAGGTCTCTATAAGAACACACATGCAGCTGTCATTTTACTATAAATCATAAAAGGAAGTCTAAATATTCCAGCAGTTGATGTTGAAAATAGAACTTGGCGTTGTTACCGGCAGAGGAGCATCATCAGCTTAGGAAGTTATATTGTAGTAGGTTTAATAGTTTTCCTGCACACATTTGTTTGAGCTAAATCAGTGTGCGATGTGCATCTTTTAAGTGTGTTTTGTTTCATTGAAAGTTAAGGCTGTTGTTGTTGTTTTTTTCAAAAAGTCACTAATATTTACATAAAACTTCTAGAATTATTATAAACTGTGATTAAGATGATATTCCACACGCCACATCATTGAACTGGTTTTTGGATAACACTATCAGAATTTTCTGCTGATTTTGTGGTCTCCAATCATCAGTCTTGGATAAGGACTGGATCGAGAAACAAAGAGTACAAAATCCGACGCTTTTTTTCCAAGATCAGAATGAAATAGGAAGCATAAAACATGTAACAAAGAGAAACAGGAATGTTTGATTGTAAAAGGTTATTGATCTGAATGGCTTCGATGCTCTTACGGATAAATTCAGATTAGTTTAATCTCACCTTGGGAGAAAGGCATGTGCGGGCAGGTACTGCTGAGCCATCAGGGGCCCCGAAGGAGCAGTTGAGGGGCCTCCAAGACCTCCAGATGATCCAGATGTTCCAGAGCCCACCATGGTTAAGCAGGTCTGCTGGCTGCGCCGAATGTCCCCGTGTGGTCCGTGTATGAGGTTTGGGATCGGATGGAGGGCCGTCAAAGGTGTACTGGGGAGTGGCAGAGGAGGCTTGCTGTGTCCAAGGCTGATCACTGGAATGTGAGGAGGAAGAGGTGAGGGCGAAGGGAGGGCTACGGTGGAGGTTGGAGTCGGCGGAGGGCAGGGGGACGTTTTAGCTGGTGCTGGGAGGAGTGGGGGTGGAGAGGAAAGAGCCGGTGACCCATTTGTTGCAGTGGCCATGCATTCTGATCCCTGTGGTTTTTCCTCCTCCTCCTCCATCTCCTCCACAGCAAGCTCAGGTGCAGTAGCTGCATCTGCCTGGTGATTGGCCAACGCCGTCGTCGGGGGGACGGGGGACTGAGCTGAGATGGCGGTAGAGAGGTCTGTCTGTCCGGTATTGTTCGCAGGATTTTGCCCGCTGAGAGCATCCAAGGATGCTGAAATCTGGCCGTGCGGGGGGCTGTGCCGCTCAGCAGACGTACAAGATGGTGAAGAGGTAGAGGACGACGACGGGGGCCGAGGTAGGTCTTGAGGTGAAGACGGGGAATCAGCGGGGTTCACCTTCTCCATCATGATGGGGGAGTCTTTTGAGGGAACCTTGTCAGTTTCGAGCTATCCTGTCGCACTTTCACACAAATCTATCACCCAAAACTTGTCCAACAGGGTACTTCAACTCTTTCCGAACTAAGTGTAGAAAAAATAAAACCTGAAATCTATCAGTCGCCAGAGCAAGCATTCAGTTTTTTTTTGTGTGTCTTACATCTCCACATGTCCCTCATCCAGGTCTAGTCAGCTTCACTATGGCTTAATGTCATAAAACATGTGTTAGCTAAGAGCTCATGACACCACCCACTACATAGTTGTTTGAGATTCATTAAAGCTCCCTAAAAACTTTCATCTTGATGCAGCCTCACTCGCGCTTCCCTTCCTTCCCTACCCTTGATGGGTATACGAGCCCTGACTTATTTCGCTGGAGCACATGCGCACAGTCTTGAGGTAATAGCTACTCCTCTGTTGTCAACTCTGGCTCTGTAATGTTTTGATGTGAGTTGGACGCCTGCATTTCTCCCACAGTACATCCTGAGTGGCAAATTTTAGGTTCCGAACGAGACTCCAGAGGCTGCACTTTATGAGTCTGTCCGTCTATCTGTCTGTGCGAGGATGTGACTCAAATATTCTCGTAAAGATTCAGAAAGCTCCAGATCCTTGAAGATTGGATTGATATCAAAGGGCCTGTTGAACAAAAGAAAAAAGCAGCAAATGCGATCAGGATACACAATATGTATGGTGCATATTTACTGGAGGCTGTGCCTGACCTGTCAGCTAATACACACGCACCACAATAGCTTCTACTCAAATGTAAAAGGTTTAATTGTTAAAGGATTTTACAGTGGATGGTGTTCTGCAGTCAAAAATGTCAATTCAGATCATGAATAGACTTATATCATTCTCACACTTTGATGAAATGTTATTTGGGCATTGAAGAAATGTGTAAGTTTAAATTTATTTAGTGCAAAAAGATAGATACTTTGCACTCTGCACGTCAGTGTGGAAGGCCCTTATGATTTCTCAGGTTTTGCAATCGCAAATGTTCCTGTTTTGTCTTTTCTGGTCACCATGACTTTATTTTGGACGGTTCCGCCTTTCACGGTAATGTCTAGGGACGATACATGCAAGTGGTTATGAATAATATCATTGTGCAGTTCCACAGTAGTTAATGATTAGTAAAAAACGACCCTGATTAAAACAGCTTTAAACAGGACTGCACATATGTAAGGTTAAGATTAAAATCTATGTGGATTTTAAAGAAGCACGAGCCTTAAGAGACACAAAACATAATAACCTCTGGAGAAAGAAGCTCTGTAAAAAATATATTTTTAAAAGCTTTGTAATACAAAGAGTAAAAAGTAATAAAAAATATCCCTGTGTGTCAGATGCTAAGCTTTAAAACCCATTTAAACTCTTTATTGAACATTAATATTCTTATCATTTTTCTGGTGACTTTAAAAAAAACTATTTGTGGAACCTATTTGTTTATCATTTTTAAATCTAGTATGCATTTGTAGGACAAAGGCACAGTGTTTTGAATGTTAAGGCTGATCAGTAGAATGTAATGTAAAATAAATATCAAATCTATCTGTCCATTTGAGTTTTTAAGTTAAAAAAAATGTAACATAACTATAGCAATTTCTGTCTTGATCCCTTTACATCAAAACGTGCCAATTCATTATCATGAGAAGATTTTTTTTAGTTCATTGATATTTTTTATTTAGATAAAAGGTTCAGATCAGACTTGAATGTGCCATATGGTACTATGAATAGATAATCTTTAACATTATGTAAGATATAGAGATGATTTATTAAGTGCGAGCGTGAAAAAGATAGGAAAATATAAAGGATAAATAATCCAAAATACTTACAAACGCACAGTGACATCCAGTGCTCTTGCGTCAGTCAAGGCAAAATCCGTCACTTCAAATGATCTGCGAACGCACATGTATCTGCACGGAGCTTGACGTCGTCTTCCTCCTCCTTCAGGTTCTCTCGTACTCCTCTGCAGCCTGTCGGCAGCTGTCTGTCAGTGTCTGAGGTCAGACACCGGAGCTAAATTGTCTGGCCGCACTTTAAAAAAAAAAAAAGACAAAAGATAAAAAAAAGTCCCCGTCCTGTCATGAAACTCTTCAGAGATCAGAGATTCTTATTTTCAAAAAGCACTTTAAAAATACGCGTCATCAGAGGGAGAGCAAAACACTGACAGTGTTCACGTTTGTTTTTCGTCAGGAAGTTTCTCCTTTGTACGAAGACGCGCTCTTAGCTCTTAGGAGATTGATGGTAAGGTTCTCAGCCACCCCCCCCATGTCCGTATGTCATCTTCACCTTTCTGTCTCCCTCATTTTTTTGCCCTGTCTGTCCCTATCCCTCTTCTTCGCCAAGAAGACACAATGCTCTAGTTGGTTGCCAGAGTTCTGGTCCTGGCAAACGAGAGGTGGGAGAGAGAAAGGGAACCATGTTGCAAGGAGAGTTTTCCGCTCCCTGCTGGACAAGAGGATGTGCTAGTACAATGTGGTGGCTGCTGATAAGAGACTCAAAAGCTGCCTGTGGTCTGTAGATAAGGAACCCTCACCCCCCCCCTCCTCTACCCCCACCACTGATACACACACACACACTCACACACATGCACACGAGCAGGTTCACGCCTACATGCATGCGCATAAACACAGCGAAAGCCTGGTCAGTCCCAGACTTTGAAGGGATTTGGCCGACTTCCAGGCAAATATGTGCCATCGCACTTGCACCACGGCGCATCAAACGGACGACGCACACAGTTGCACAGTGTGTGTGCATAAATAAAAAAAAGGCAAAGATGAGAGATTGACGTGCAGAATCACCTGCTGTCATATCGTATCGCTCGAAAAGTCACGGAAAAAAAAGACCTGCACTTCAACTGAATGTAGTCACAGAGAAAAATCAAATCAAATCAACTGACCAATCTGATATGTAAACTTATTTGTATGTTGTACACATATAAATGAGAGAAAAGTTAACACAAATTCAATATATCAAGATTTTAAACCATTAAGCAACAGTACTACAGGGTTAAGAGGTCATCAAGTGCTCCATTACATGAGAAATCAAATTGTTTGACTGAGTAAAAAACAACGAACGGGGTGTGTGATTTCTAATTTCTAATAGTTGAAATAGTTATCACTCAGTGGATCAGAGGAACACTTATTTTGTCCCTAGTTCCTACCGGGGAATCAGAACACACCTGTGTCACTGGTGACCAATACACAAGTCGTCATGATGGTAAACTTTCCTCTCAAAGAGCTCTGAACTTCCTCTCGCGTATCTCCCTCCCCCTGTAACCCTCGCCTGCTCACTCTTTTCCAAATCTGTAGCTCTCCGTGTGTCTCTCTTTCTCTCATCTGCCCCAAAGGGTCAGTACTTTCTTTAACAGTGCCGCAGTCATTTCCTCCTCAGACAGACTGAAACATAAACATTATGCCTTTACAGTTACCTGACCCCTCAGGGTCCTGGGAAAGAAAGAGGTCCTGTTGAGCAACAAATCTGTCATCAACTTCATCATCATCACCATCCTTGTTTTTTTTTGTGTTTTTTTTGCCCTTGCCATTGTAGTGATCTTTGCCATTGCTGTTCTAAACAATGATGGCTGGGTCTGTAGAATCAGGGAGCAGACAGTGTCATTTATTCGTCGTCACACTTTTTTGCGTCCAACAGCTGCGGTTCTGGTTGATCACACTCCGCAGGGCCAGAATAACACTGCAGCGGCACCGTTGCGCTTGCAGATGCAGAGTGAATTTGCCTTTGACATATAAAAAGCCACTCAAGGTGCAAACAGAAATCCTTTGGGATTAGCTTTTCCTACGCGTCATAGTGCGTTTCTATTCTTTAACTATCATCAAGTGTTTCATTCTGACACGGTCAAGGCGCTTTGTCATTTTTTTTCTCTACCGTTTGTGAGAATTTTTTAAAGCAGATGCAAAATACTTTTATTCCTGTTTACCTTTATTACATAGCTTCCACCATTTTTAATGGTTCTATCATTGAAAATATGTTGAGAAGATAAAATCAGGGTAAATACAATATAATCAAAAAATCAAAACTGAACTGGTTTCCAGCATAAAAAAAGTCATTATGCCCAAATGTTTTGACATTCATAACATTTCCTGAGTAAATTCTTTCCTCTTTTTCTTTATCCCATTGAAACAATCTGAAAAAAATTTAACCAAATTCAGCTGTTTTGAGAATCCAGATTTAGATATAAAATCTCTTCGAGAAATATTCATAAGAACGTGTCAAGTAGCTTTTTTTTCACAAATCCGTTCAAACTCTGTGAGCCAGTGGGCAAATACTTGCTTTACATTTCGGGTTTCCCCTTTCTAAGGGTAGAACCCTGAGAGACAGTCGCAGTTGTCTCTGGAGCAGACGCAAGACGAATTGTTGAGTCTCTCGGGTAGGTCAGGTTTGAACGCTCATACTGTAAATGAGGAACAATAATAGAAACAAACGATAGCAGACAGCTTCCGCTCTGACTCTGAGTGGGGAAGAAATCAAGAGAGGATTGTTTTAATCTCAAAGAGCTGCTGTTACGCCCTCCTCCTAGCTGTCTTAAAATAGGAGTATTGACGGGATAGCCTTTGAGCGAAGTGTGTGTGTTTGTGTGTGTGTGGTGTGGATGTGCACTTGCAGAAAAATTGATCCCCTTGTCTGGTCAATGACTTTGTGAGGGTGAATAGTGGAAAAAAGAATACCTTCTGACCTCATTGTTACCTCATGAACGAAGCAACTTTGAAATCAGCGTAGATTTGACAGCGATCTGCTATCAATACAAATGATGGTTTATAGTATATAAAACTCAATTTAAGTTGAATCTGTTTGATTGTGTGGGTCATATACAGTAGGTGCAATATCTCAGGGGAGAGCAGTCATCTCCCTGGATAAAAAAGCAAAAATCTTGTCTTGCGATTGAAACCTTTAGCATTAGATTTGGCGCCCAAATCTAGACAAACAAGAAATGTAACCAGGGGACAATTACCATGTGTTTTTTGATCGGGTCACTTTCTGTTTGCCTTTGATTAATTTAATCATGAACAAGCCCATGAATATAGGATCACAAAGAGTATTTGACAAGTGGTTTAGCTTCCCAGCCTTCCAGACCATTCTTTCTGAAGCAATTCTAGCATTAAAAGCCATTGGTGAACAAAATAAAGTGACTGCAATCTAATATTTTTTCCTTTCTCAAAAATTTCAACTGATTTCTAAGGAAATGGCTAACAAGGGAGAATGTTTAAACAGAACTGTTTAAACGGGTTATGTATGTACATGATGACGAATCAGAAAAGGGCAAACAATAGTCTTCTTATGCTATTTCTGATCAAAGTTGTGGAAGCTACAGCCCTAAAATTCCAAGATCACTTTACATGTCACAAATGTGTTTTTGTCGTTGTACTGCATTTGTTATTTGCCCAGTGCAATATTCTGCTTGATACTTGATGTCACATTTTGATTTGTATATAAAATAAGGTCTCCTCCAGTCAAGCTACAGCCCCATTTATGGCTGTATAGGATGCTGCAGACATGCATTTTTTAGGACGAATCATCCTGACAAAAGAAGGCATCCTCCATGCCAGCCGAGAAGGCCTGAGGGGTATCTCTTCTATAAATCACTTTTTTTTTTTAGAAAAGAAAAATCAGATTAACCTGTATTAGAGAGTATGTTTTAGGTCAAGAGAACAGGTCAAGAGAACAGAAGGTGGAAATAACTCATAGAAATCAACACTTTGATACACTTGGCACATAACGATTGCCATCCTGACACAATCCGAGCTGAGAAAGTAAACGGCCTTAGAGTAAGGACATGGGCATGCACAACAAACACATGCAGTCCCTAAATTGGGCTCCATGGCCACATTTCCTCTATGACATGTAAACACTATTGTGCGCTGGGCGATAGGGATCACTGGAACCTAATTGTTTGAGGCAATATTCGCAGTGAATTTCATGGAGAAAGTGACAAACAATACGGCAAGCGCAGGCCAGGACAGACGTGATCTCTCCTCCGCTGCTGCAGATGCGGACTGTTTTTTTTTCCTGATTGTCCTGGAGACCGGCCATACACCTACAGCGCAGCACAGGACGAGCCTCCGGCCTCTGTTGAGACGCAGGGTAAAGAACAAGTTGAGGTTTACGCAGTATTCAAAGTCAAAGTTGAGGTTTACGCAGTATTTAAAGTCAGAGTGTCATTTACGAGGCCCAACTGACTTCACAGGGAGGCTTAAATCATTAAGAGCTAGTGGATCCATCATCATAGTGAAATAATGCTTTCAGATTGAATGCACCAGATTAACACTTCACCACTTAATTAAACACCCCCCTTTTCAATGTGTGAGGTATTTTGGTCACAGCTGTATAAGGATTGCGTTTGAGTGAAGAGAGGAGAACCTGCAGGAAAAAAAAAGAGTATTTGTTTTGTTAATCTCGCCTCAGTCTTCGATCATCCATCTGCCATACTTATTTGATACTACATAAGTGAGTGTGGGGGCTTGTTTAGAACTAACTTAACTTAACAACACTGTGTGAAGAAACTGCATCACCATCTGCCTTGCAGCAAATTTGGACCCTTGTCAATAGTCTTTGAAATCTCTATGTTCCCTGTGCAAAAAGATGCTTGCATAGCCTGAGTAGATTCATTTGTACCACTAATTTACCATTTAAAAAGCTAACAGGCTGATTAATGTTCTGCCGGTGAGATTAAATTTAGTAAAAGCAGGGCTGCAAATAAACATGTAAGCCATCAAAACCCTCCATGTAATATGAATAAGGTTGAGTTAAATACTTGGGACTCAAATGTGTGTTAGAATAGAAGACAATAGAAAGTATTAAACAGATATTCTATTATCTATTATAAATAAACACCATAGTTAGTTTAAAACTAATACTAGTTCAGTAGTGGAGTAAAAAGTTCCAAAATCTTACTTTAAAATGTGGGGGGGGGCAATAGAGTTCTTGTGGCTTTTTACTACATTATCCACAATGCAATTGCACAACTCAAAACATAAAACTTCTTCATTGTCCTTGTTGACTCAAGTGTGATCTCTTGGGTTATCAAATGTTTCACCCACCCATCAAATAACAGAAAGAAAATTGTCAGACTTTGTCAAATATAGTGGCCTGTCTTTGATTTCTAAAGTTATAATCCAAGTGGATTTGTGGCATGTCAAGCAGGTCAAACATTAAGTTCATTCTTCATGTTTGTGAAACTAACTTTGCAGATTTTTCAAAAATATTTTTCGAGACAAATTTATGTATGGGCTCAGTAAGGAGGCTTATTTTTATCTCCTGCCTGTCTAAAGTTCATGGTGATTCTGATTACTGTAACGGCACCCCGTACAGTGTCAACCACATGTCGACAGTCACACATCACTCCGTTCCCAGGATGCACCTGGCCAGGGGCGAGCAGACGGATGCGAGGGACAGCTGTTTCCTGTGCACACTTCCTGGTGTGGCAGTGAAGTGGGGGGGGGGGGGGGGGGGGGGGGGGGGGG